CGTCGTGATTATGCACATCGAACTGCAGGGAACAGATTAAGGCACTCCAGAAATTATGAAAAAATAATATTTTTCTTGGAACTGATACCATTTTAAACGAATTGGTACTCGGCGCAGAGTCAACAAAATGAAGAAGTTTCACGATCATGAGAAAAGGCGAGAATCCCTCGTAGAGACTGGAGAACGAAGAATGCAGCGAAATGCGAGCTGAGGTAGGTAGTCAGAGCTGTTTAGTTGGCTTTTTACCATTTTTAGCTTAATTTCTGTATATGCTAAGCTAGTAAAAGCAACAAGGGTTCTGTAGTCGCCTAAAAAGGTCTTTAACATAACATTTTATTTTTGCCTATTTGTACGGTTTTTTGTCCAAGATTGGAGAATATTATACCCTTGACTTAATGGCGCTAAGACACTGGTGACAAACAAAGGTGCATTTCTTGTTTTTTGGGTTTATTTTATATTCACTAAGTTGTACTATACCATTATCTTATATTATGCGTATTTTTATGTACGTATTATTTTGAGTGCATTCAGAACTTTTAAATGTTTGTTTAGTAGTGTCAAATCTGTAGTAACTAGGGCGTCACTGAAACCCATCTCTTTTAGTTAAGGCAATTGGTTATATTATTTGATAGCTTACTAGAATTAATCTCTGAGAATTTCAGATATTTCTGAAACCTGATTTGGCTATTTTCAGGGCTCTTTGGTCAGCACTGGCGGGTAACTCAATCGCCGGCGACGCAGACGATGTTGCGTCAAGTGGCAGCATCGGCCAGTCGACCTGTCTGCCACAGGTCTGGTTTTTTGTCGGTTTCCCATGTTCTGCCAATCGGAGAAAGACTGTGGCTACTCCAATGACTCCACAATCCACGATTTGGGCCCAATTCGCGTCCATTTCCATTCGGCGGCCCCTCTCTATCGAGACATTGTTAACTTGGACGCGTCGCCACTCCAGTAAATTAGTTTCGTAGAACTTCCAAGACGGCCCACAATGAGCACAGTTGTTGCACACTGAGAGAAAGATCACTACTTCTCGCAAGAGTAATTTACAAATTACTCTTCAATTATTTTTGCTTATTCCAAAGAGAACCGTTTATACCTTTTAACAAGCTCACTTCCTTATGTAAGTTTTAAACATTATTACAGAGATTACAAAAACGTACATAAAAGACTAGTTAAATAATCAATAACCTATCTTGACTTCTTTTGAATAGAATTAAACTATATTCACATTAACTTCACAGCTTATTTAGGTGAAAGTAAACTTACTTAACCTTTTTTTTGAGCGCTTCCTTAATCGAATGCTTATGTAGGATATGAAAGTATTTCAAACGCATGAATAATAAACGATTTAGAGTTAAGCGCGGATCTCATAGCAATTGTAGTTTGATCTTGAGTAAAAAGCGAAACCTCCAGCTGCCATCCGTGAACCTCTATATATGTCCCTATAGGGCGGTTAAAACCCCATCAAGGGCTTTCAAAGTCAACTCAAAAAGCGAATGAATAAATCCGCCTCGAAATTCTGCGGGGTTGGAAATTTATTCACACAGAAACGTATAATTACCCAGACACAAAACACAGCAGAATCAGCAATGCATACACAGACACACACACACATTCAGGCACTCACTAACACAAGGGCAAACACTCACGCACACACACACACACTCACACAGGCGAAAATTGGCAGCACAAAAAGTTCACTTCAAGTTCTTCTCTTTTTGCTCCAAGCGGAAAGTTAAGGAAAAGTTTTGGGGGCGAAGACGAAAAAAGCGGGGAAAGGCGGGACTGGAAAATGTGGGCGGTGGAATACGGGTGGGCGTGGCAGCCGGTACTTCTGCTGCTGCTGCTGCTGCTACTGGCATGGAAAATTAACAATTTTTCAATTAAAATCAATACGGAGTGTGTACTTGTAGTCGTAGTTTCCTTTTTTAGCCGAGCAGAGGCAGGGTTGGGGTGGGCACTATGGGGTTAAGGGCTTGGGAGGGGCGCAAAGTGGGTGTGGCTGTGCTGTCAGGGTAATCTGCATATGTGTCTGTGTGTGCACATTTCATGAAAATAGCTTAAGTGCCTAAAAATATGCAACGCATTTGACGATCCAACTTTGGTTATGTGTATGTGTATGTGTGGGTGTGTGGAAGAGTATCTTTGTGTGGGTGGGCGTTTGTGTGGGTGTGTGTGCTTCTGTTTGTTTATATATGCGTTACATGTGTTGTTAGTTTCTCGGGCGCCGCTGCTTTCATCCCGAAAAAGCAAATTTCTAAAGCTTTTTTGGTTCAAATAGTCCTGTTATTTTCAATGACACTGTCTGCATGGGTATGAGTGTGTATGTGTGTGTGTGAGTGTATTTCACTGAAAATAAGTAACACCTAGAAATATGTAAAAGTATAAGCGTATTAAAACACTAGTAATATTTTTCATTTTCGAAATAGAATGATTTTTGCATGTTCTATGTGGACTGAATAAAAGATAAATTATAATAAAAAGGAACACTAAAACATTGAAAAGGTATTTATATTATCTGTACTTAATATTTTTCAGTGCATATTTGCATGTATTGGTGGGGTCGTGGCTCCTCTCATCGTTCTTGTACTTGTGCATCGTTTTGCGGTTGTTTCGGTCTTTCCAAGTATTTTGTGGCCGTCTAACTGTTGAGTCCTTGCCCCTTATACACACACACACACTCCCATACACACTTAGATGGGGTGAGGGCAAGAGAGGGATAAAGACAGGGACAGACAAGGATAGACTCCATTTGTGGGCACCGCAAACAACGTTAAATGCAAATTTACGCTCCTGCCACTCCCACTAACTGATGTACAACTAACGTAGCGCCCACTTTTCGAAGCCATGGATTTTCCACACCCCTTATGACCTCCTCTATCCCCCCGCCCCGGGATTTCACACCCATTTCGCCCCACCAACACACAGCTGTGCACACAAAATGGCCGTACTTTGGCGCCATTGCTTCACTTCAGTTGTCCTTCGCTCCTGGCTCCTTGTTGTTTTTGTTGACTATTGCCGTTATTGCCAAGCTGGAGTGAGACGGAAAACCGTATCTGTAGTGGCCAGAATTGAAGTGTTAGTAGTAATGCTACTAATTGGACTCGCTTTTAGCATCGCTTCATGTGCCCCCAAGCCATCTCGATCCCGAGAACCCAATCCCTATCCCAATCCCAAACCCAATCCCAAAGCAAAAGCTCCTTCGAAGTGCTCTACATATATATACAGTCCTGCACCAATACAAGTATGCAATGTGGGTGTGGGTGTGGATGTGGGTGTCCTTCTCCAAAGTCTATAATTGGAAAATTTTACACACTCGAAATTCAATTTGGAATGCAGAATGCCAGTTGAAATGTGAGTGGATGTGCGAGTGATTACCCGGGGCATCAGTGGGTTAATTGCGTGCCTGCGATATGTTTTAATTAGCAGCGATCACAGAAATGTATAAGCTCAGGAGATTAATATGGTTCTAAATTAACAAAATGTAGTATTGCCCAACTATGTTATACAAAAAGTAATCTGTTGAATCGAAACCAGTAGCCGCTTTGCAAAAATTTCTGCTATATCTTATAAATACGTTTTGAGTTAATTAGGTCACTTAATAATAATGGTTTTGGGTAGTTAAAAACAAATTATCCAAGGAAAATCTTTATTTGGCATTCACAAAGTCTTAACCAAAACATATTAACACAGTTGAATAAAATATAAGGCTTCATCAGTTTTTGGGTTTAATATAAAGCCAATCCGCCGATTCCTTTTTGAGTGTACATGGAAATTTGCGTATATTTAAGTGGCCTGGATCCTTGAAGAGCCTGCCATTAGCATTCCACTAAAAAAAAACCAATTTCGAACCCATCCGTTCGACGACCCAGAACTTACAGCGAATGAGTGGTTAAAACAGGGCACATTCGCCAAGAAATTGCGCCATAATTACACTTTTTTTCAGTGCTAATTAAACACGCACACACACAAACGCACACACACACACATACAGACAGACGTTTTTGGGTTTGCCTTTTAAGGGTGGCAATTTGGCTCAACTGAAGTTCACTCGATGGAAGCGCACACACAGATACTCCCTCGCACACACACACACACACACACACCACAGGGTATATTCCGTCCCGTTCACTCCCGCGATTCAGGGACTTAGAACAATAACGGCCATTAAAATGCTTAATTATAAATTCGCAAACGTTGCTGAAATTTTCTACGTTTTTTCCCCCTACCTCTCTACCCCTCTCTTTTTCCCACTCGCCAGCCATCTCCCTCACACTATATTGCCCTCTCACTTGCCCAGCGTGAAGCGGACGTTAAATGATTTCCGGATTTTGCGTTGTTCCCAATGCAGTGCACACTTTTACCTATGCATATATCACATTGTTCTTTAAAATTCAATTAAATACCAATTCACAAAATTGTTCCAAGTCCTTTTTAAAATTTTTAAAGATAGGATAGGCTGCCTTTAAATAATAATGCTAACATAAAATAATATGACAAATCAAATACTAGGTGTATTTATAAGGGACTTCGAGTACTGAACGGCTGTTCAATTTGTATTGCTAATTAAGAGCCTTTTCGATATCCCCATTTGGTGACGGTGTCATAAATGCATTGAAACAGACCAACTAAGCCCTGTATAGAAAAAGCGCACAAGTCGAAGGAGTTGCACTTGAGATTCTGCTGCTGATTGCGGGTTGAAAGCGGTTTACCAAGATGACGCTGCACACACAAATTGAAGAGGTGTGAAAAATCAGAACGGATACATCCAAACAAGCAGATGAGAAACCAAAGACAAAGACAAAGGAAATGCAAATTCCCTGGCCGAGTTTTTGTTTTGCCAACAGCAAACACCTACTTTCGGCGGATGTAATTAGTTCGTTAATTCATTAGGGGAATAATGAAGACTAAGGAACATGGAATAGTATGTATGGAATGGAAGACAATGCCCAAATATCGGATTACCTGATGGGCTGATGCTGATGCTGATGGTGACTCACCTGTATGCGATCCTCAGGCAACTCCGTCTTTAGCGACAGCATCTCCCGAGCGTAAACGTCAGGATAATGGGCTTCCTTGAAGGCCTCCTCCAGTTTCTCCAGTTGGTAGCTTGTGAATATGGTGCGGCTGTGCCGTCGCTTCTTTTTCTTCTTTTTGCCATTCGGACCCACTCCAAAACCATTCAGCCCGTCCATGCCAAAGTCCTTGGGCGCCAGGGAACCTGAAAAAATTCGGGTTAATAATACAAATTATTGTTAAAAGTGATTTATACTATCTAGAGTAATATTAAATCAGTTTATAATGTTACTTAAAAGTTTGAAACTTTTCTCTCAGTATGTGTTTTTTTACAAATGATCATATAACATGAATATTAATTTTATTTTATAAAAGATCTTCATAAATTTAACAGCATTTTATTTTATTTTTAGTTCTTAAAGAAATCATGTATACCGTGACAACTCATTTTAATCTACGTAGTGCGTACCCATTTCTGAATTTCGAATACCTCGCCGCCTTTATACTATATATATTCATGTCAAATTAGTTGACGAGAATCCCACGACCCGGTGCCGGAAAACACATGGCGCTGAAGCGCGACTTGAAGTGGTTTTAGTGGTTTGTTATTTTAATATTTAATAATTGTATCTAGTTTCCCACTTGTCTGTCGTTAACTCTTCGTAATTTTTTGTTTTTTGTGGTTGTCACACACATCATCTTTTGTTCCAAGGAAATCCCCACTTGAGAGGGTCGTGGAAAAGCGGGGAAAAGTGAAAGCGTCGAAGGAGGATGGCACTGAACGAGGATGGGGATTCGGATCGAAGGAAGGAGCTGACAGGCCTTGACAGGCGCGATTTTAGTTGTCGATGAGTGGCAGTCGAGTTTTTGCACCGAGAAACAGATTTCAATTTTTTTTTTTGATTTTAAATAAAAATAATTTAGTTGCAGAGTAGTAATTTATATAGGAAATTGTAGCCAACTACATCATATAACTAAAACAAAAAAAATGTGTTACTTTAATTATATTATAACCTTTTTGAAATATTTTTTCTCGGTGTGCACACAAAGTTGAGCGGCCTAGAGATGAGTTGAGCATGCTGATGAGTCTGGGTATTGGAGATGAGTCGAAGTTTTAGTATCGAAGCCACTTGGCGGATTGAGAAACCGAGGACTTCGAGGACTACCAAACAGCCGTGTTTTGGCCAAATCGAACTTGTGGCCTGAAGCACCCGGAAAACATAAATGCATAGTTCGGTGATCGAGTGGTCTGGACCACTTCGCAGTTGGGAAAGTATGGAAAACTATGAAAAACAAAATACACACGGGTAGAGGCACACTCGTGCAGTCAGAACGAGGCAGAAAATAAACATTTCGCATTGAAATTCGATATGAAAAATGAAGTAGAAACGCGCTGTTGCGGCTGACGAGTTGTTCGAGTGAAGCCTCATCCCCATTAACCATTCCCACTAATTCTGCGTGAAAAATATCTCCGAAACTGCCAGTGAAATTGCGTGTAATGAAGGCCGAAAATTGCATCTTGAATTACCAGGCAAAAATGCAATTCACTAGAGGAATTCAAGGTATGTACATGTACAAGGAAATTTAATTGTTCTGGTTATTCGGTTTTTCTCGAAGAAAGAAATCATTTCGAAGGCTCTCTCAATTATGGGGTGTACATTTCACGGTCATTATCCAATTAAGCCACGGCATCTGCTCTCATCTGCATTTACTTTTGAAAAGTGATTTTTTGGCAATCTATCTTTGCTCAATTTATTTTCCATTGTTTAGCACAATAGGTAATTGGTTTTGAGCAACTAAACTTCTTCACTAATAATAATAAAAACGTTGGATGCAAATACATTTTTTTTTTATCAAGAAAATAGAAAAGATATTTTGAATCCGCCGTTTTGACACGAAAATGTTTTTCAAATTGATCAGCACAATTGCCATTTGTGCTAATTTTTTAATCTTATAAACAGTTTAAATTTATCTACTTGAAAGTCTCCAAATCAAAATTAACAATTATGACAAGCCGAAACAAAAGTCGGAAATTAGTCAATTCGGGAACGCAAAAAAGTAGGCAACGTTGACATTCTTTCTCGCTTTTAATGAGCTCATACACACACTCATTGAAAACTCCGCCAGCATGCCAACATGCACACTAACACACGCACACGAACACACACACACATGCATCACAACATATTAGCAATTAAAATTTTCTTAGTTAATTACTTTAAGCAGACGACGACGAAGGATGAAGGACGAAAGGATGTCGACGACGTCAGCTGGGGAAAATGCCAGAGCAAAAAATGTCGCCAGCCAAATGAAAGCCGACAACATTCTTCCATCTCTTTCGCTCCCGCTCGTCGCCTCTCTGTTGCTCTCACTAGCTTTTCGCACAAAGAAAGTCGCCCCTTCTCTTTCCTTTGCCCGGCAAGTGAATTTTATGAAATTTATGCGCATTTCACTAGAAAATTTAATTAGGAAATCTAATTTGCTCAAAAGCGCATAAAAAATGTTGTCGCTTCTAAAGTGTGAAAGTGTGTGTGGGTGGGGGGGTTCTGAATTTTAACATTCTCACCAACACCATCACCATCGCCATCCCCACTTCCCTTTCCGTTTCATTCCACGGTGTTCCTCTTACTTGTTCATTTTGTAAGCTGCACCATTTTTGTTACCCAGCCAAAGTTACAGGGAGAAAAATTTGGTTATTTTGGTTAAAACATTAAAAGACTCCATTATTATAGTAACCTTAAGCAAATGCAAGAGGGTAGTAACAATTACGATGGGTTTACCAAAACATTGAAATAAAATAATGAATTGTTGCATACTTATCAGCGCCTTCACAAGTGATTTCAAACCTCTAATCTCGAGACTTTCCCAAAAATGTTTGCTGTGTGAATTTTCCTCTGGCCCCGCTGTTCCTGCTTTTTCCGCCCAATTTTCGCCCATCGCCCCACTTTCCCCACCCATTTTCCCCCCATTTTCTCGCCATGCATCAAGTAACCAACAAAATGACTAATTCCTCGTCTATGTGTTGGTGTGCAAGTGCGTGTGCTGGTGTGTGTGTGTGTGTGTCGCATAAACAGTTGCATGGCAAAATACGCTAATAAAGTGGCTGAGTTGTTGGCAACGCGACAGCGACGCAGCCGCGCAGTCGACTTCGGCAGAGGCAGCGGCAGAGGCGTCGTTGAAGGGGCATTCGCAATTCGCAATTTGCATTAGCATGAAAGTGGCTGCGTTTTTGTGCATGTGTGTGGGTGTGTTAGTGTGTGGGTTTTTGGTTGTGGATGTATGGTTGTGTGGGTGTCCTCTGAACTGCCATTCGGATTTTCCCTCATTTTTCGTACGCTTTTTTCGTACTAATTAGAAATGAAATTGAATTATTTGCTTGAGGAATCAAACAGAACCCACAAACGCAAAAAATCAGAAAAGGGGCTATGGCGAGTGGAGCAGTAAATGCTCCAATTAACAGCTTTGATAACTCGGTTTTTGATGCCGGAAGGTTAATTCCAATTGCTAGACGAAAAGTTACTTGATGATGGGGCTAAATATTTATTTGGGAAACGAGAAGTTTATATGTAGTTCAAGTCAATAATTGATTGGTAGATCCAATAAATTAAATAAGCAACAACCAAATTTATTATTTTTCCAATAAATAGCAAAGTTAATTCATGTTATCATTTCTTGATGTTATACATTTAAAATCTGCTTTGTTAAGTACTTATGGTATTGGTACATTCTTTTTAATTGATAATAGCTTTAGCCACATTTAAGTCAAACTTTTTATGAATATCAAACTGCCAAAAAAATTGTTGTTGTGTATTATAAAGCAATTATGTGTCAAATTATACCTACAATATTTCTTTGCTGTCTCTTTCTCCAAATATATCCCTGTCTTTGTTTCTAAATCTATCTATATTTCTTTCGCTTTCATCCCATCCGTATTATTTCCTGCATTTCGTTAACGATGCAAGATTTCACCCAAAAGTAACAAAAAAAAACACACACACACACTTTCCCACGTGCTGGCGAAAAAGTGAAAGAGCAAAAAGTTTTAGTGAAAAAATTGTGTCACTCTTGTTGTTGTTTTTACTGTTTTTCCTTATTGTTGTTGTTTTTGCAGTTGTTGCTGTTGCTGCTGCTGGCGAAAACGCGTTGCACTTAAAGTTCGTTGAGTTCACTTGGGTCGGTGAAGCGGAAAGAAAAGGTGTCTGAAAGTGGGTCCAAAGGGTTAACGGGGGCGGGGCGACAAAGGGTTAAGAGCCTGTGTTGTGCAATTGGCTATTTTGCAATCAAATGTAATTCTATTCATAACCCAAGTATTTATTTTTACTGTTTTGGTAAGTTTATTAAATCAAAGCAAAACAAATTTGTTTTTTGTGTATTGGTTTTAATTAATTAACAAAATGTATTTTAATTATGCTAAATGTTACACCTTACATCTTAGTCAGAAATGATTATCACTCAATTATTCCCATTATTATTTTAGCATTATTATAAGCTGCTTGCAAACAAAATACTAGCCATTTTCGGGCATTTTCTAATCCATAGTTTGTGAAGTCGCATTCGACAACACTGTGGAAAAAGGGGGCAATCATGTTTACTAACTTTGACACAAAGCTGGCTAAAACGCTGCCACCCAAAAGGGATTGGGGGCAGTGGGAGTGGCGGTGCGCTAGTGGGCTGATTTTCCCGCTGGTGACGAAACAATGGGGCGAAGAAGAAGAAGAAGCAGTCACACGACAAGCAAGGAATCTAATTAACAATTTTCCATTGAGTGCGCAAATTACGAGGAACAGGAACAGAAAGCGAGGGATCCGGCAATCCGTCCGAAAGAGACAGCAAGAGGTTAGTATAAAGGGACGGCAGGAGGGTCGGAGAAAGAGAATTGTAGAGAGAGACGTAGGAGGCAGACAGCAGCAATTAGACGGGGACGAATGCCGGACAATGTCAAAGCGAATTTTCCGCATAAATTCCAGACAAAGTCGATTGAGGGTCACATCCTTAAATCTGCATCAAAACTAGTTAAAAAATTAAAATTGAAAAATATACCAAAAAAATAACATTTTCTATAAGATAATTTTTAGATTTTTTTCACTTTATGATATTTCACAATTAAGTAATTATAGCTGAAAATGTTATAATGTTGTATATACATTTTTTTTTAATTTCCATAAAAGTGGTCAGATTAATTTTCTTACTCGAATGTAACAACATACCTCTTATATTATTTATGATGTTCCTAAGCTGATATCTTCATTGATTCTGTGACCAATTTATTTTGTTCTAAGGTTGTTGGTTAACCCCTTGCCACCCCTACCGATGTGTGTAAACCCATCTTTCGCGTTTTATCACCCTGACATATTCACGTATTCAGTCAACTGGTGCGACGTGAATTGCGATTGGTTTCGCTTCACACATGTGTGATTTTTTTTTTTTTTTACACATCTCCTTTTATTTTGTTTGTCTTGCGTGTTTCAATTAAGCCGAACAATTTTCTGGGGGGGAGGGCTTTTCTTTCGACATGGCCAGCAAATAAAACTTAGACACGCTCGTGAAAAAGGATTGTGGGGGTAACACAATGACACGAAGGGGGAAAAAATGCCAATTAAAATCTTAGCCATGACAAGTGCAACACGGTGGTGCAACACAGCCCGACTCCCCACTTTCCACTTTCCACTGCCACTGCCCCGACTTTCCTACAATTTTTCAAGGCAAATTGCCCTACTTGTCAGTCTCTCTCGGCTTCTTCGCCTTTTCCTTGGCTTTTGTGTAATCTTGTCTTGCAATTTGCTTGCAGCAAATGGCTCAAAAGTGGCTGCCCCCTTTTCACCGGATTTTCCCCGCCTTTCCCGTCGACTTTTCCTCTGGAAGAATGCAGGCGTCGAGTGGAAGACTTAAGCAGGGCACTTCGCCCATAAAAACAGAATGGAAAGAATGCGCGGCCAAGTGGCCAAGTTCGTGTTGCCTGGCCCAGTCAGAGATTAGAGTTTAGAAGAGCCCACTACACGGCAGCAACATTGTCGGGAGCAATGTGAAGGGCAGCAACATCACCAGCATCATCAGGAGCAACATCAACAGCAGCAACAACTGCGACAAAAGGGCAATTAAGTAGTCCCAAGTTCTCGGAAAAAAAGTCAAGAGCTCATAAGGAGTGCCTAGATAAGACAATCAAATAGGCCACATGTTTAAGCTTCAGCTGCTCAAAATAAAAGATTAAAAGCGTGCAGCCAAAACTAACCAACAACTAAAATTATATATTGATGAATGTAAATGGTATACGATTACGATTATAAGTAAATAATTTTACGTGTATTTTTAAATTAATAAACCCAAAACGTTGCGGTTTAGAAATATTATAGGTAACTATGACCTGGAGTTAAGCATGCAACTAAACTTTGATTTATGTATTTATTTACATTAGTAACCTGTATACATATACAAATCGAATATATTATTGCCTGATCATTTGATAGGAGAGAAACGGCATTTTATGAACTTTAACATCTATAATTTTGTAATTTCGATTTCTAAAAAATGTATGAAGCTTATATTTCGTTTGAAAAGTTTAATTATTTCGTTGTTTTAGGTAGTTTAAGCTGTAACTAACCAATTAGTTTGTGTTAATGTTTGAAGTTTTATTTTTCATTTTATTGGCACACTCATAACCCCTTCTCTAAAATGTTCCCTATACCGTTCTGAACCCCTTTCCCCCTCCCCCTCCTCCCCTCCCCTTGCTCCATCTGGCATCCTTCGAACCAGTTTCCAGATCCGTTCTTATTAGACAAGTTTATGTGTGCGCTTCGCATTTCTTTCGCCTTTGTTTTGGGATTGCTCCTGTATTTGTGTGTTTCTCTGTCGAAAGGGTTAAGGCAGAAAGAGACGGCACGATGGGGTGTGAAAGAGAGGGCAAACAGGACATGTGAGGACGTGAGGAGAGATGAATGCGCGTGCAAATTGCGTATAAAAGCGTATGTTGAAAATATTTATTGCCCGTTACGAATGCAACAAAATGAAAATGGAAATTTCATTATTTGACTTTTGTCTCTCGCATGTGTGTGTATAGTACACTGTGCATACTTATATGTATTCCTTTCTGTTTTTTCGTTAGCTAAATTGTTTATTTTATTAGCAATTTGGAGAATTTATGTGTGCGCGACATGTGAAATTTACGCTTCACCCTTTGGCATTTGCCTTTGTCCTTGGCCACGCCCTCGCCGCAGGACCTGCAGGAGGCGGGAATCCAGGACTCGAAATGAAGCGCTGGAATGCCCATTAATTAGGCCAGGATGCGGAGGTGGCGCCCTCTGTTGGTCGAAAGATATTCAGCTTTTTAGACTTTTGTTTTTAAGGATTGCAAAAGGGATTGCAGTCTGAGGTGTCCAGGATTTATGGTCTACCTTTAGGCTTCCTTTTAATTTGACTACACCTTCGAATTGCAGTTGAGTGAGTGAGTACTTACCGGGCAAACAACTTCCAGCTCCTGCGGCAAAACTTTTCAGCTGCGGAAATCCTGAAAATGGGAGAGAATAATAAATCAAAATGGAACTTTATAAAGAAATGGGATATTATCTTAAACTTAGCTTTCAGCGCCCGTTCCCCACGTATTATATTTCGTATTATAAACCAGTCCTTATTTGTTAAACTAAAAATAAATTATATTAATAATTTTGAAATAAACTCAATTATAATTAAGAAATAAACCTAAATTGCAAAACTTCCTACATTTAAACTTGTTTCTTTAATCGATCGGCAATAATGCACATATTTAGTGACTCACATTGCTGGGCCTTCAAAGCGACCATACACTGTACTTTTTGCATTTATTAGCCTGACAAGGGGGATTCCGAATTTATAGCCCTCAATCCAACGAATTGAGAAGGCGACTGGTTGCATACACATGGCAGATACTCAAGTTTGCAGTAATACACAGCCAAAAATTAAATTAGATAAAACGAAAAACAAAAATCATATATATATTTTGTTAATAAAAGTTCCAAAGACAATTTGTCAATGATTGATGATCTGATGATTTTCATATGATTTTGATATTGACACAAATTTATTAATGACATTTTAATATTTCTATTAGTTTAAATGGATATCCATTTTATATTAGGTTTTTATTTAATTAAAATTAATTTTGTTACCTTTTCGAATAAATATTCATGTGCAACTAATTAAAAAATAATAATTTTGATGAGTGAATTACTTCCACTTTTCTCTCTGTATTTGCCGACACTCAGAAATGCAAATCGGCGACCTCGTTGTCGAAATCGAGACAAGCTCTCCTTGCAGTCTTAACCCCTACCTCGCCCCGTTAACCCCTCAGTGCCCTGGCTCAGCGAGTGACATATCAAAGCAAAATCAAATTTGACAGACAACCGCGCTAATTTCTGGTCGATGTTTCATTGTTTCAAGGCGTTCATCTCGTTCGAGTTCGCTTTAGTTTGCCTCTCGGTTTTGGCTTTGTTTCGGGGCTCTAAAGGGGATTCGGAATCGAGAATCGGGATTGGGATTGGGAACTTGGAACTGCAAATGGAACTGAAACTGGGACGCAAACTGGCATTTCCCTCAATTGTTTCACGCTGACGCATTTTGAGAACACAATGAGACCTCGACATATGCCAACAATAATAAAGATGATGATGATGATGTTGTTGATGATGATGATGATTATGTCGACAATCAAACCGCATTTATTAGCTCTCTACCAGGAATTCCGTTTGCTGATGAAATTTGATATTGCGATATAGTGCGCGAAACTGCTCTAAAGAATGTTTGAAACAACAACAACAAAAAAAGAAGGAAAAACTGCAAGTGACGAAGTATTTATAAACTGATTAACGCTCGACAATAGCTGATATGGGTCGCTTAGCGGAAGGGAACTGGCAACGGCGAACTTGGGGTATATATAGGAAAAATATGGGAAAAATACCGAGGATATCGGAGAATGGCGGGGGTCAGGGGGTCAAAGGCGGACCACACAAGGCGATCGTGGAGCGTGTGGGTCGTGAGCATCCGCCGCAATCCGCCGCCAACCGCCGGAGGTCATGCAAAGTAGCCGCTTCGGTGCCCAACTTCGAGCTTTAATGCCAGACGAGACGACTCGGGCGTCGTGAGTGAAAATCAAGTGAATTCATTTAAAACTCATACACTTGCATTCGAAATCGACCTCTTAAAAGAAATACGGGTTGAATAAGAAATTTTCTCTGGCCAAGAACAAATTGTGAAATTTCAACCATAAATTAAAAAAAACTACAATTGAAAAGCTGGTTTAAGAGTATTTTACTGCCAAGCCGTAGTTTTAAAAAACAGACACCTTTTTAAAATTTCTTGAAAATCTCACCGAAATACAAACCAACATTTAAACGCAGAATTTTAGAACTGTAAGCCATAATATTTTATGATTCAAAAGGTATTTCTATTCTCAAGCCGACTTCTGTGAAAAAAGTTATGAGCTTAGAAGTGCTGTTTCTGATCTAAATTTATTAGGCCACAAACTTTTAAACAGTTGCTATTTTGAAATAGTAAGTCAGTCAGACAAGTTTTAAACTAAAATAGTAAAGACTTTGGAGAGGGCTATTAACCCAATTACTTGGACCAAATAAGCCAACTACAATCATCATTTAGCTGGCATCGAGCGTGAATTCAGACGTTCGACCAGGTGAATCACATCGTGTTCACAATTGAAACAATTTCCAGCCGAAAAAGTGCTGAGTAGCCACTCCAAATAGCCAGATAGATGGCCATGCCATGAATAATTAGCAGTCGTAGTTGTTGATTGTTGGTGTTGATGTTGCTGTTGTCGTTGTCGTTGCTCTTGGTGTTGCTCTTGGTGTTGCTGCTGTTGCCGATGTTGCTGCTGCTGTTGATCAGTGAAAGCAACCAAATTCCAAATTCAAATCCAAATCCGTACCGAAATCCCACTTTCGAGCCGCTGAAGAAGCAAACTCAAGTGCCAAATCGTGTTTATTTGCGTTATAAAATTAGCGCAGTGCAGTGGCGTTCTCCGGAGAAGAAGGGGGGCTTAGGTTCCACAAGCCCCCCCCCACAAAACGGCGCCCCTGGAAATCGCTGGGTGTGCAGTCAAAGTGAGTTAAGCTTTTGGGGCACGAATTGCCCGGCTCTGATTGCCATGTGACGGGGCACAAAATCCAGCTTATGAATACATGAATACGAATGCGAATACACCAAGCAACTAGCTTACAGTGAAGCCACCAAAATAGATTTGAAGAACAATACATTGCTTGCCTGTGTTTTTAGAAATTAAATGTTTTTTTCAATGAAAATAAATTGAAATGCAGTCCATCTATGTTTATTTATTTTATAAAAGATTGAGTTATGCAAGCTATACTGTATATGTGAATATGTACATATATATGCCACCAAAGTTATCGCTTTTATTATTATTGTAAAATGTGATTATCGGGAATGAATTGCGTTGCGTTCCGTTTGGGAAAATTTGAAATTATTGCGGCTAATTCTGTTTCACGCGAAATGCTGTGAATCAACTGGCACCCTCACCCATACAAACTCTCACCCCCACTCACACACACACACACACACACTAAAAAACACAGTGGCACGGACAAATTAACCCTTGAGTGGCACTCGGCACTTCGTTCGTCAAGTTGCTTTAATTGACTTTTAAATTCGCAAAAAATCAAAGCGAAAAAGTGTGACAAAGTGCCAAAAAACAATAAAAAAAAATCAAATGAAAAAAAACATATGAGAGGTGGGCGGTAAAGTGCAGCAACAACAACTGAAACAATAACTGCACTCGTGAAACGCTGACGCCGAAAATTTTCACACCTCAGACAATACAGAAATGTTGGATGGGGCGTACTAAGGGGTTAAGAAGGGGTGGGCAGCCAGGGGTTACGCAGCGGGGGGAGGGGGCCGAAAATGTGGGCTGGGTGGGGCACACTCGACCGGTCGTCCGCTCACTCAAAAAACCGAAGGGCGTTTGTCGACACTTTTTCCCCAGTTCGAAACGAAATTTCCTGCATTTCTTCCACATTTTTCACCCGTTTATTTTTCTAATTTGCGTCAACGCAAAATCAAAGCAAAGTCAAAAGACGACCGCACACATTGTCCGAAGACCGAAAACTACAATTAAGAATATTTTTATCAGCCAAGGAGACACAAGCACACTTAAATGTATATGTATATATGTATATACTGGGGCAGGCTATTAGCAAAGTGGCTCAAATATCAAAGGGCGGGATATTTGGATATATCGATGGAGAGATGGTTAGAGTTTTGGGGCGACTGATAGGCAGCAATTAGCAGTTCTGGAGTCATTGGTTGCAACACTTCCCGTCGATGCCAAAAACAAACACATCCTGCCTATTATGCTTGGTCTTGGTCTTAACTTCAAAGTTTAAAATATCAATTGCATTATTCGTGATTACAAAGTCTTTATTGATTCAAGTCTTGCAATAAATGCTATTGTTACGGCCATATAAATTAGCTATTAACGAATTCTGTTAACTTAATATATATATGTATAACTAGAGCAATCGAAACAGGTAATTTACAATTTGTATAAGTAAGGTAGCATATTAAGAATTTAAAATACAAAAATCTATTTACCTTTTTTTTTATTTCACTTTTTTAACAGCCACAAACCAAAGTACTAATCCAATTCATTTACTCACTTATTTTCAGTATAGAACATTGATGTCCCGACACGAGAAATGTAGAAAATCCTAAATGGTTAATTTCGAGCCTCAAGTAATTTGCCGAAATATTTGCAATAACAAGTCCCCACGGCAAGTGCACAAATACCAGTGCAATCGGGGGTGTGCGGGGTGTGTGTTTGCGGGTGTTTGCTTGTCGGTGTGCAAACACATCAAAACGACTGTCACAACAAAGCGACGCGAGGAGCCAAAGTGAAAATTGTCAATTAAATATGTGTGGGGGGGAAAAACGAAGAAAAATCGTTTTCGCTTGTTCTTCCCCCCAGCTTTTCCCTGCTTTGTTGTTGGGCAACCAATTTTCCGATTTGGTTTTCCTTTCTCGTAAAAGATCAAAGGCACTTAATGGAAGGCGCCAAATAGTCAGCTCTGGACAGGAAATCCGCACAAAATCCGACCGAACTTGATGCGATTTTTAAATTGACGAACTGGCCACGCAAATGGGTATAAAATCAACAAGAGAAATCCGAAATATGTGTACGAGTACGACATCAAGAGCAGAACGAGTCGACAATATGCAAAATTAAATACGATGACGCGAATGAAAAGCAGAAAGCAACAGCACCAGTAACCATAACAGAACTAAGCACTAAGAATCGGAAGGGGAAATCGAAAGCTCGACGGCGACATACCCTAATGTTATTTGATTAGTTGCAGGGAGCTTGATAGCTTTTTAAATAAATTCTAAAATAACATTGAACACTTCTCACTCGCTTATATTTAAAACACTCGGAATAAATCACCAAAAGCAATATATATATACATATATATAAAATAAAAGAACTGCAGTTTACTATAATAATACAATTTTGATAAATTTAGGGAGCTTATAACAATCAAAAGAAAGCAATCAACAAACCAATATGCCCCATCACAATTTAGTACCAGCCACGCCGTTATTTCTCACATTTATTAGACACAAATTACGACGAAACTATAGAAATATGCGATAAACGAAACCAAGAATTATAATTAAAATAAAGCAGAAACACCAAGTGGATGGAGTAGCGGCGGAAAAGAAACTGTGCTAAGAAACTTGCTAAACACAATAAAACCCAGAAAAGGGTCCGGAAGTGGCGGGTAAGCAAATTCCGCATCGAAAAATCAAATTCGATGAATAAAAGTTGAGTGCTGAGTGAAATTGGCACAGTGAATCAGTGCGGAGCAATGGAAGTCGAGGATCGGAGATGACGATGATATTTTAACGCTAATTAAAATAATAATAACAGCTGCCACTTGAATCTGCAAGATTATCGGAGAGCCTCTCTTGTTTCACTCAAAAAAATAGCCGAGAAATCAATTTCAATAAAATATATATATATATATTAAAATCGAACAGAAATATACATACATACATATGTATAATATTAGCAAGAAATATTTTGTAAAGAATATTGCGTTATGAGTATTACTGAAGACTTATAAAGCAAGTAACTATTGTAATCCGAAAATATCCCATACAAATTTATCCTGAAGTGGGTTCTGGATGTGTACAATGTACTTTTTTTCAAGTGTAGCACTCCCTATTATTTCATGCCTTTCTGTTTATCTCCATTCGCTCTCATCGCTTCGACTTTGGATGATATTGCCACTTGCAAATACGCTTTAATTCGAGAGACAGTTGGCAGTGTGTTTGTGTATAATTCTCGCAGTGTGTGTGTGTGCCTTGAGCTGATCGCCAAACAAAAGAGCATTACAGTGACACCAAGTCACTAAAAAAAATATAGAATCTAGTTTAAACCAATTTTCTTTAGTAGGCACTCGGATTTTAGTTTGATAAATAAATGTTTTACCAAACAAAGAAAACTTTAGATGAGCAAAATAAATGAGTAGAGTTTTTTCGGGGATTACTTCCTAATAATTAAAATGTTTAATTAATTTCAGAGCTGTTTTGGCCTTTGGCGATAAACATTTGCTTAGAATCACGCCAAAAACGGTGGATCGATTCCCTGTGAGTGGGAGACCAAAGTGCACCACTTTGCACACACACACTCTGCAATTAGCAGCTCAACTTGAGTGGTGGGTGGGTGGCGCGGGGTGGTGCTTTCGAGTAGAGCGGCTTGGTGGGGTTGTTGGGGTGGTGTAGTGGGGCCAAAGCTGATTTGCCTGGACGATGGCTCGTTGATTAATTCCTTTTTAATGCCAACTAAGCGGCACTCCAGACCCCGATTTGCCCCACTGTACGCGTGTGTGTGCGAATTGACTGCATATAAGTTCGTGCGATTGTGTTGGCTTGTCTGGCAGGTGACAAAACCAGTTGCGATTGCTAATTGCGTTTAAACTTTGATTGTCATTGTAAATGTGCACGGCGAAAAACCATTTTTTGTTGATACAGGTTTCAAAAAATATACATATTATAAAAAAAGGTACATTTAAAATTATCAATAGGGGAATTTTGAAATCTAGTAATATTTGACAACGTGCTAATGATTTTTGAACTATAAATATAATTTTCTCCTTGTTTACTTGAAATTATTAATTGTATATAAAATATTTTATACTTCTACATAATTAAAATTAGTTGGTATTGAAAAATTATATTTTTGTTCATTGAGGCTAAAAATTATACATATAATCAAATAATAAGCTACATTTTATATTATTTTTAATTTTTAATTATACTTAACCTAAAAAAAACTCAATAAGCTAAACAAATAAACTCAACTATTAATACGAATTTTTTATTTGTATTTTAAATTATACATTGTTAAGAATATTTATGAAGTGGATATTGTGTGTTTCAAATTAATTTTTAAAAAGCTGCAGCTATGAAGCTAGATGCCTAGAACTTGTACATTTATTTATAGGCTGGACACCACAAATAAAAAATGATCAATATGATGTGAAATAGGACATCAAGGAAAATAAATCTAGATAGGTTTGATATAATTCACACAGATAAATAAGTTCTAACAAATGTAAATTTATATTTTAGCTGGGAATATCATATCTTTCGGTGTGTCTGGTTGGGTTCAGTGGTTCGTTGGTTCGTTGGTGGGGACAGTGGCTTACCCTGCGCATGCAGCAGTGGGTGGTGCGGATGGTGCGGGTGGTGATGCTGCATTGGCGGCGGCGGCGGTGGCCCCCCAGCGGCACCGTGCGGGTGGTGCGGGTGGTGATGCTGATGCTGATGATGATGGTGCACCGCCGCGGCCAGTTGGTGGGGCATAAAAGCCGCGGCCACCGCCGCATGGGCATTGAAGTAGGCCATTCGCGACGCAGCCGCCATGGTCATTTGGTGGTGCTCCCGGTAATGGTGGTGCTGCTGCTGTTGCTGGTGGTGCTGCTGTGGCTCCAAACTGGATGTTATATTGCCCTCAGTCGGTGTTGCTGCTGCCCCACTGCCGAACGATGTTGCTGCTGTACTAAGTATTGGTGTTGCTGTTGCTGCTGTTGCTGCTGTTGTTGCTAGATTGCCTGCTGCCATCGTGGAATTTGTTGTTGTCTTTGGCGGTGTTGGCGTTCGGCGCTCTTTCGCCAACGTTGCACCGGCAACAGTTGTCGTTGTTGTCGTCAAATCGGTTGGCGTTTCTGTGGCCGCTGCCACCGCCAAGCCCAGCAGCTCTTGTATGGCAAAAGGCGAACGCTGCGGCATTTTAAATGGCTAATATTTAAATCTACGACCAGATCTTGTCAACAAAAGACCATGGTGGTAACCAAAAAAAAAATGGCATGCACGCGATATCTTTTGAATCTTATGCCTAGAATTGCCTGTTGTCAACAAGAAAACATGCTACTGCTCAAACAAAAAAAAATCAAACTTTGCAATGTTGCTGCCGTGCACGCGATATGCAATGTGCGATATTGCGACTGGCACGCGTCGCAGAAAAACACACAACAAATTCGCAATAATTTCCACGTTAAACTGTTGCCTGCGTTAATGTGCACCAGGAGTTTTGTCGTCGCAGTTACTGTCGTTGCTGTCGTGCTCTTGCTGCCGTGGTGTTGCTGCCGTGATGTTGCTGCTGGTGCTGGTGCTGGTGCTGGTGGTTGGCTTTCGACTTGGCTTTGCATTCCGCTTTGGATTTGGCCAAGCAGGAGGCATTCAGCTAGCAAACGGTAAACGGCCAGCGGAGCTTTGCTCTTCCGAGGACCTCAAATCATGGCAAACGCAGCAGCAACATCTGCAGCGGCAACAGCAACAGCAGCAACAGCAGCCGCAGCAGCAGCGACGCTGGCAGCAACGACGACGTTGACTGCGCTGCCCGACAACGGTAAATACTCAGGGGCGGTCTCTGTCGCACGCTAGCCGCACTCCTCGCTCCCCAGCGAGTGCGAACGAAGCGGCAACATGCGGGACTTCCCCTCGGCAACATGGCGCATGTGCAACATCCATTCTGCGTGGGAGCGAGGAGAGCAGCACTAGCCTTCCAAGCAGCCGCTAGCCGTGCTCTTCTTACACACACGAAACCTTCCAGTTTTCCCTTAAACTTCCAGTTTTGGACTACCATTGAGTGTATTGGTAAGCCCCATGTCGTGGTATTAGTGCCACATTGCCAGAGTGTGCGGCACCCATTTTGTGTGAGTGAGAGAGAGCCAGAGAGCAAGAGAGAGAGAGAGGGCGACCGCAGAAGGGGTAGCCAAAATCGTTGACAAAAAGATATCCCAAGACCCGAACTCCAACTCGGATCTCGAACTCCTCTCCGCATTCAATGAAGGACGCCAATTTATGGACCAAAAAACGAGGAACATTTCGGTTGGCAGTGGTAAAAACTACTCACTTGTCGGGCTGAATTGTCGCCTGCCCAACAATGCAGAGCAACAAAAAAAGCAGTCTAATTAAAATTTTCGCCAAAAACTTGTACTATTAAAATGCGTAAATTAGCATTTACACGAGGCCTTGTGTGTTTGTGTGTGAGTGTGGTTGTGTGTGCGTGTGGGAGAGTCCTTGCTGCGCAGTTCTGCAGGATTGCGAGAGATTTTCGGGACAGTATGTGGGTTATTGTTCCCAGGGAACTCGGCCTCCCATGGGGCAATTGTGCTGAAATTCGGTACTCGGGCAGTCAAGCCCTTCAGTTGGCTTTACCAAATAGTAGGCATGATTCCGGGTGCAAATAGAGCTTGTGCAAGACTATTAAGTAACTAGCAGGCCGATAGAGCCTTTACTAATTTACTAATAAAATATTTTGCAATCAATAAAATAATATTATCCCGATCACTGTTAGAAATTCATTACATTGCTGACATTTTGACTAAGTAAAATATCGTTACGAAAGCTGAGATTTATAAAGTAATTTTCATAAAAATAATTCTTTGACTTAAAAGTATAGTTTAAAACTATAACTTATTTATTATTAATCCCAAAATTATCTGAATAATTTCTAAAATTCGAACATTAAATTAGTCTCACGAAACTATCAAATAAAAACAAATATGTGGCTTATAATAGAAATGGAACTAAAAAATATAGGAGCTAAATTATTTAGTACTTCATTAATACTTATACTTTAATACTGTCTGTTGTATATTAAGGGGCCAAGACAGGAGTGGTTATACCCAAACTAAATTTTAAATGAACTATAAAGAGAAGAAAAATTGGAAAGCCCAGATCGGTGGCTTCAAAAGATCGCCAATAAGCGTGCAACGGGTCTTTCGGGGCTTTTCTCACGCCCCCACAGTGGGCTCCCCCTTGGAGATCCCACGCGGTAATTAGACAATGGAAATGCCAACGCTCACACGGCGAAAAATCGAAGCGGATCAAAAACGGAACGCTGTGGCATGATCGTACCTATCGGGCCACGCAGTCTGGCATTAAAATGAATGAAAGAGATGGCATACCGCCATAAGAAAGGGAGGGCGACAAGCTGAAGAAAAAGAATGAAAGGCAAGGCAGTGAACAGTGCGTACTAGAAGAATTTCGCGGGGTAATTCGATATTTTTTAGAGCAGGTTGCCCTCGGATGATTCATTCAGGTTCTAAAGCGAGTTCTTAAAGCAAATTCTCGTTTATTTACTAGAATTTGATTGTTAATTAACTTGCAATTACAATCGCCGGGATCCTGTCAAAATAAATATTGAATTTCGCCGATGATTATGGGTAATCCGATAGCGGAGATATAGTTTTTTCTCTGCGAGGAGAGCTAGTTTCCACCTGGCAGCCATTGGCTACAGTTCAATGTTGGCGATTTCTTATTTTTTATTGGGTCCTCTGGCGTGTCCTTCGCGTTCCCAGAAGCTCGGACCTTTGTGCTTTTGTTTTGCAAATATTTTGACGTGCCAACGAAGGACTGACAACCCGACTACCTGGTGTAGTCTGGGGATATATATTTATATATATACATATATATATATATATATAAATATATTTATTTATATATAGATATTCGAATATTTGGATACCGGGTGCTCCGTTCCGTCTCGAGTTGCTCTTCACATTTCTGGTAGTTGACGTGGCCCGCCAAATGATTCAATTATGCTTTCAAGTGCGAAAGTTGACCAAAATCGACTGTCAATTATGTGTCGAGATTTATTTACTTAACTATTATTGTCTTGGCACACACACAATACACAATATACAATCGAAATTGGACAAACTTAATTATGAACAATTAAAGTTCAGTTACTTTTTGTGTAGGCTTCCCCAGCGAGTTTCTCGATTATTTTTGGATTGATGGCCAACTGACAGGCGCTATAAGGCTTGCCAAAAAGTCAAACAAAAAAATATGGACAAAAAAAAACAGTAAAAATGATAATAAATCAAATGGAATAAATAACAACAAGCATATTGTTGTGTAATTAAGTTGTTAAGTGTGAACAAATCTCGGTAAATCTTCGCGGGGAAACGGGGGTGTTTTGAAGGGGCTTTAGACAATATTATTGTCACACGATTGTTGCCATGTGATTAGTTGAAACCTTAATTGCACGACAATGGCATAATAACAACGATAATGGCCCGAAAAGCAGAGAAAAATTTTGAAGTGAAGTCGCTTTGTCGAGACTTAAATACTCTTTAAAATTTGTGCGAATGTATAATTGTTTATATTGAAATAATTTTCAATTTACTAAGGAGTTTGAACTTGCCTAGCATTTTAATACCCTAAAATTAAATTTTACAGATTTACTTATTATGATTGCTTGCATTATTATTAACAGACTCACTTAATAAAAAAGTACACCGATTTTTTTTTTTTAAATGTCCAGGTCTGACTAGAATTTGAAAATAAATAAATAAATATTTGTGAAACCAATTTATAAACACAATTAACTTCACCTTTCAAATAGTCAATATCTCCAAATAATTTATAGGGCATACTAAATTGCATTTACCGTACAAGTGGTACCATTTGGTATTAGCCGTGAATTATAATCGTCATTATCATATTACTATTATTTATTATTGTTATTGTGGCTGCTATTTTGTGGCTCTGTCCATTGTTGTTTGCGCTGCTGATTTCGAGTTTAGTTTTCAATTATTTAATTGTTTATTTCGCTTGGGTAACGTGAGAAAATTAATTTCTGCCTTTGGGAAAAGACGAAATTGTCGACCGCTGCTCACAGATGGCGCCACTGTTGCGTTTATGGCTAATTTTGCACAAAGCCAATCATCCTTGTGTTGCGGTTGGTTCGTGTCCCCGCTAAATAGGTCCTCGGGCTGCAAAGTTAATTAGTAAAAGTTTTCGCGAATTAATTAACATAGGATCGACAAAAATATCAGCTTTTCTTAATACCAAATTGTTGGTTTTATTACATTTTTTGAAACTCCTGCTTATAAATCCGTTTAATTACATAACTTTGCGTCTTAAATAAATTTTAGCTTATTATTGCATTTATTTTAAAATCATGTGTATACTATCTTACAACCTAGTTCTTTATTTTCAAAACTTTAGTAGCTATTTTATTATATTGTTATTGCGTCGCCATTCGAATTCCATATACAAAAATCCACTTACGATTTTGCGGATTATCTGCACTAATTTCCACCCAGCAAAAAAGAAACAGCCGAGGAGCTGAAGTTGAAAATACTCGATCATCATTTGTGTGAGCGACGGGAAAAATGATTTATCATTTAAGAACACTCGAAAGTGAGGATGTTCGCTGACAGGGGTTGGGCTATATACTCCGTTCTTCGACTGAGTTGGGCGGGTTTCAGTTCTATATGCTATATTTACATGGAGAAAAATGGTAAATCTTTTTGAGTTTAATTTAATCTGTTTGGCTTTTCTTACCTTATATTTCACAGGGCAACGCAAAAATTGGTTTCTGAAAGTACTCATCAAAACTAGTTATGGTTCTTGTGAACGTGTGAAAATAAAATTGTGTTCGTCTTTTAAGATATATAAAGATAAACTTTTAGTTTTAAAGTTGCATAGTATATAAAAGCAAGTTAAGACGGAGTATACAAACGAGGTTCTAAGTACTTTCATGATAATACAATTTATGCTGTACAGATTTTTTCAGAAAATATTTCATTTGATGAAGTCACAAAATGGTTTTCCATTTGACCTCAAAGCACGTTTCTTTCAGTGTTCCACTATATCTGGCTGTGTGAGCTACCGAAGTGGCCGAAGAGTGTGCTCGACAATGACGACGAACCAATTTATGGGACAGGCTTTCGAGCCGGCACTTGAGTAAACCGAAAGGCAAACACTACACTACACACAAGCAGAACGAAGAAGGGAGGGTCGGGGTGTGATTAGGGGTGGTGGCAACTCTGGCCATCGAGTTTCGGGTGGTTGTAGCCTCAAATTAGAAAATAGGCAACAAAAAGATGCAGAGCCAAAACAAATTAGTAGCAGCACAAAAAACACAATAATAATAATGAAAATAAGGGAGCGAGGGGAGTGAAATCCAAAATGGCCGAACTTCAATTGAAGTGTATCGGAAGAAGTGGCCGGCCGCTGAGTTTACAGTGGCACATAATCGTACGCATACCGCCGATGGCCGCCACACTGACCGAAAATATAATAAACATATACATATTTCTCAGCTTTAGTACGCATTCTAATGCATGTATTAGAGGCAACAAAAGGTTTTATCAAAAAAAAATCCAAATTTGGTATTTTGTATAATAGCAATTGTCCAAATTAAAATAAAAAAGTTTTTTAAAAATAATATCGACCCAAACATCGGGAAAATTTGTTATTCTCGAAAATGTTTTCAA